GATGGTTTTGAGCAAGTGTAGTTGGTGGGGGGGGGGGGGCGCGCCTCCTACTACTACTACTACTACTACTACTACCAAGATTACGACTACGACTACGGCTGCGACTACGACTGCGACTACTGCTACTGCCGCTGCCACTGCCACTGCGACTTCCTGCTACTGCTTCTACTACTGCTACTGCTACTGCTACTGCTACTGCTACTGCTACTGCTACTGCTACTACGACGAGTACTAATACTAGCCGCCCGAAACAATTTCGAAATTGCTTCTTGCCGCAGCACCGTTGCCACCAGTTTGTGTGGTGGCCCTGCATGTGCATCAAGCTGCATAGCATGCCATGCGCTTTTAAGCGCAGTGGCTGACGTGAAGCAGCTGCAGAATAGCTGCCCGAATAGCTGCCCGTGCAGGTTATGCGCGCCAAGTGCAGGTGTCGCAACATGACAGCATGCTTAAGTATGCTTAATTGTGATCTAATAGTGAACTTCTAGTAGCGAGCGCTTGCCATCAAGAGTTAACTGCATCCTATCCTGCAAACCCATTTGTTGGTCTTGACCATTGAGAAGCGCTGGAGATGTAGACGGGCCACGCGTGCCTGCTGCACAACACGTGCCATCTCACCGGCGGGACCGTTGGCCGGTGCCTGAAAGAGCCATGTTCTCATCTTGCCTACTCTGGCCTACACCGGCCCCGACAGCTTGTTTGAGCTGCATTGTCCCTCCAGCAGGCGCTTGGGTTGCAAGCTTCACTTTGGCCAAACCGTGTGCTTGTCCGTGGCTTCCTTCGTCTGAAGAAGCGCAGCCACCCGAGAATAGGGTATGACTAATGGACATCCAGGCCCCAAGACAGCACAGCCATGCTGCTGACCATCACTGACATGATGTCGTGGATATCCTCAACAGGCCCGAAAGATCCCGAGCAAAAGCTCCATATTGCGCCCGTGCTCTGTCTGACGGCACGTTAGATAGGGCGCGCAAAGTTTAGTTTACTCCATTCTACCCAACCCATGGTCATGCAGAGTCTCTGCACCATGGCCGAGCGGCTCGTCTGACAGCAATGGCCCGTTGTCGAGGTTCCCAGGTGCCACCATGCAAAGCTTTGACTTCTACACGAGCAGACATGCAAAGTCTTACTGGAATATACTGGAATGCAGGCTGTGTTTGTGGCCGCAATGTGCGTTGCTTACAGACCATACTTAACTTCCGAAGAACTCCCTACCACCTGATGACTTTCGCAGATGCCTGTGCGCTTTGCCCTTTTCGACTGCCCTGGAGGAGATGGGGTGAACAAACTGCCAGCATGTGTTATCTAGGGAGTGTTCGCTTGAGCAGGCGTGCCCCAAAAACACATACCGGAGCTCGCCAATCGTCTTTAGCCTGCCTGGCTGTTGTTGGACATTTCCGGAACCATGTGGTGTCAAGCTAGATTAGCCTTTGCGGGAGCAGTTTCTGGCCAGAGATGACAGGTTGTGGCGGGGGCTTCGGCAACACTTACCTCACGGTGCCGGCAAATCAGAGCAAGACACTCAGCACGATCTGAATCTGTTTCCGCCAGATGAAGCAGTCTCGCTCTTACAGGCGTACCCTTGACCATCCCGGTTGGAGCGGAAGGCCTCCTGCCTTGTCTTGCTTGCCGGCCTTCCACGAGAGCAAAGAGTCGTTTGAGAACATTTCGGAGGCTTTCGGATCACGGCAAACTCCAGCACGGGACGTGTTCGTCTGCAGCTTCGCGATGCTGCCTGGCACTTGTCTCGTAAGATGTCGAAGTGGCATCGCATTTTCCATACCGCCGGATGAAGACGCATCGGCTGCTGCGAATGATCCCAGGGATCCGATGTTGTGGTCGTCGCTCAAGGCGGACAGTTGCTTCAGACATGACTCATCACGAGCCTCGGAGACTCTTTGAGCAAAACACAGCACAGATCACGGCCTCATCAATGGTTCTGTCCGTGCTGGAGTCTACAAGGCCTGGTAAGGGTGCAACTGTCGAAAGTCGAATGGGCCTTTTTCGGAGCCGACTTCAGCTTGGCCCAGGATGTTGGCATCGTTTATTCAGGAAACTTGTCGAGCGCGCTTTCGGCTGCACTCAGCTGCACTTGTGGAGTTGCAGACCAGCGCTGTTTCCGGAGCTTAGGGCAGTAAGGCCTAACATAAGAACATCTGCAAACTCCCGTCGAGGCTAACGTTAGCCTGTACTTGCCTGTGGCTCGGTCCAGAGCCATGTTCGCAACGGTTAAGGCCGCTTTAAAGACTGAGGCTTGGTGCTCTGACGGCTCCAATGAAGCTATCGCTTGGAGCCAAGCAGCTCACCAGAGCAGATTGCAGACAAACTGCGTTAAGCTTCACTGCTCTGGGTTTTGCGACTGAGTTTTGCGACGACCGCAAGCAGCGGCATTGCCAGGGTGCACCTGGCTCTTGTCTGAGATGTGCACTGCATGATTGGCACTTGAGCCTTTATGACCGTTGTCTTCCGGGCTTCTAGGCTTAGGCAAAGCGTTGGCAGTGTTTCATGTCTGCGCTGCAGACCCAATTGCTGCAACGTCGCAGCTTGCAGTAGGCTGGTTGACGTCTCTTCTATCCATCGGTGTCTGTATCAGCTAGGGGCGTTGGTAGCATTCTCAAAAGCACGTGATGAATGGTTGGAGTCCGTCGCTAAATGCTTCGTAGATTTATCCCGTGCTATCCTGGAGCGACGGTGGTCATTTTCGTCTCGGGCAGATACATAGCGTAGGTTCGGCAAAGTCTGCTAGGCAGTCTCCCTTCCACCTAGTGCGCGTCACCTGTTCGCTCGTGCTCCACTAGATTCCGTGAACTAACCCCAGAGCTCGGCCGTTATGCCACTGTGATGATGAGACTTCGGCTGACAACATGCTGCACATGATGGAAGCAGCGCCCGAAAAGCGCGAACACAAGAGACAGAACGGGATACGTCAAAGGGCTGAGCCCATCCATCAACATGATGGATGGGGATGCGCCTCGGCGCGAGTTAGGAGGTAACTCCTCCTGACTCTAACCCCTAGCAAAGCAAAGCACGTCAAAGAGCTAATGCCACAAGAGGACAGGAGAAGGAGGGCACAAAGTCACGCAAAACGGGGCAGAGGTATGTAGAACGATTAGCTCGGGTGCAGAGTTGGGAACTTGGTACCATGAGGGAGCCACAGCTGGAACGTCACGGAACACGGTGCGATGGAGGGAGGCACTCCAGACGACAGCTCGCTGCGCGGTATTGAGGCGTACACTTTTGAACGAGTCCTCGAATGCTCTTCGCCACCTGCCAGCCCCTCAAGAGCTCGTGACTCGTGACGCCCTTCTCTCTGCGATTCGAAGAATCGGCATTTCGGTTGCAAGCTCGAGGCTGGCTGCCATGAGTACCACGAGGAAGATGCTCGATGGCAGGCCCATCGCCCAGCTTCTGGAAATATGCACGCCCTGAAGATCGGAGGTGGTTGGCTGTGGGGAAGTGAGCACAGCAAGTCATGCCATGTCACAGCCAGCAAAGCTCGAAGCCAACCAATATCGGATCTGAGAAGAAACGGCCGGCTTCACCCTCTTCGGACCCCTCCAGTCTACCCTTGGCACCAGCAGGCAGGAACAATTAAACTTAACTTACGGCTCGCCGAACAAGCAACTAAGGGTGCAGAGGAGAAGTCACCGGACACTGTGTCGGCAGCCGTCAGCACTTAGCTTCTCCCCCTGCAGAGGTCCAAGTCTGGAGCCGTTGGGCGTGGGACCCCAGTGCCTGGTTGGAAAAGCGAGCTGTGTTCGGGATGGTGTCGGCTGTGTCAGCTGGGTTTTACACTAGCCAGCGCTGGATTCTGCTTTCCAGCCTGTCTCCGGGTCGGATTCCCGAGGGCTTCTTTGCTTGATGCTTCTGCACTTTGCAGTTTTGCCTGCGCGACATCGCTTTCTCCAGGCGCGCTCGGAGTACCAGAACGCCAGCCGGGCCATGGCCGCAGAGGGCACTCTGACTGATGTGAGCCCTCGCAAATCTCCGAGCCCAGGCTTGGCAAGCTCTAGCAGAAGACCGGGCAGAGCAAAACGGGGTGTCCTGGTGCTTCGCCCATGCGCTCTGACGTGCTTTGACCGAGCGCTCTCTCTGCGAGGCCCGAGTGGCCCGAGGCCGGGTGGGAGAGCAGAGCAAAGCGAGGCCGCAGCTGCGTTTCCGCGCTCTCCGCGGTTTTGGAGGTGTGGTCGGTCTTCGTTGGGAACTCGAGCATCCAAGTCGTGGCTGCCCGAATTTCTTGAGCCCGGAGCAACGCCCCCCCTCCCCCCCCCCCAAACGCATTCACGGTGCCGTGAGGCCGGCGAAGAATGGCAGCCTAGCTTCCGGTGCAAGCACCTACTGCTCCGTCTTCGCGCTCTAGAAAGACTTTAGAGTTGCGGCAGGTACTTGGATGCAGATCGAGATGGCTTTGTGCGGCGCCTGGTAGAGGTATGATGAGGCTTCGAAAAACCGCAGCGGTGAGGTTTCAAAGGAGGAGTTCGAGCTCGGCTTCCACGGTGGTGGCCAAGCCAGGGGTCGTGACGAGGCATGACAGGGCTCCGTCAAACGACCTGCCCGAAGATGAGAGCACCAGGCAGCCGTGACGATGGAAGAGGTGATCGGCGCCTGCCTGGGAGAGAAGTCGCATACGCAGACTGCGGCTACACGGAGAGACCGAGTACCGTGCTTCAGGTGAGACCGAAGGTGCTGTTCGTTCCCACCTGTGGATCGTTGCCGGTGCCACTTCCGTACCGAGCCCAGCTCGGAACCCTGCTTCGCTCATTGCCACCGCACTGTCTCAGGTGCTGCTGCTGGCGGCGGTGTTGTGCTGGCGCTGCAGGCAAGCACGTGCACATACGTGCACGGTAAAGAAGTGAGTGTAGACCACGTGAGTTCATGCAGTGGCAGGTCCTCCGGGGCGAAACGAGTAGCTCGTTCTGTGTCGAAGCTCTCCCGCGACGATGTCCCTTCCGGGCCTGGGCAGGTGGGCAAGTGCTTTTGAGAGCACTGATTGATGCTAAAACCTGAGGCCTACTTGAGTTTTTTGGTAGGGACCTCGCAACCCTGGCAGCTTTCGACGCTTGCATGGGTACATGGTTGCAGCAAGCTTTTGTTCCATGGTGTGCTAGTGATCTCAGAATGGAGAGGCTGACGGCGGTGTCTGAATGCCAAGCAACCTGCCACTCTGCGGACGGCAAATTAGGGGAGCGCCTCCCTGCTCCTGGCACGCTAAACTTGCAACTCGGAATCGTAATCACGGCCTCCCGACGACAGAACCTTATACTGTTCCATGCTTACGATGCCTAATTAGGTCAAGCACAGGGCTAGGCCGCAAAACATGCAACAGTGCCAGCACAAGAAAGATCCAAGATCAACACTTTGCAGGCTCTGAGAACTGGACGTGCAGCCGCCGCGGCCAGCCTTCCGAACAAGGAGCTAGGCCCTCAGTCGTGCCGTTTTCGGTTCGTGCCGCGGCCGGCATGTGCTTGCGACCTGTCATGTGGCTCAGCACGACAAGCTCCTACTGCACCGTTGGTTTCCAGTTCATCGCTGCAGGCATGCTAGGCTTCGGTGCATAGCGTGGGATTCTAGTGTGAGCAAGCTGTCGATACCTTGCACTCCCCTGCGAATGGCTGCACGCAAAGCACGTGGACTTTTTGCAGTGGGTATTTTCGTTTGCCTCCTGTGACTAGGGCAGCACTTAAGCTGGCTTGATGTGCTTCAAGAAGTCTCGAGCGGTTTGTTAATCACTGTCATTCCGGCGGTTCGCCTAGTGCCAGGTTCTCCGATGCCAACATTTCTTTCTCTCACAGCTCGGTGAGCCTGCGCCGACGACAAGGCAAGTCGAGGCGAGTGCCCTGCTCATTTGGAGATGCCGATGCGCAGGATTGATACAGCTGGGGCTGGCTTCGGGTCTGGTGGGCGCAAAGGATGCTGATGCGCCTTGCACGATGCGATGCAGCGATGCATTCTACGTTTGCTGCATCTCCTCCCTTCCAGCAGACCTTGTGCTGATGCCCGCGAGGCCGCACGGCTAATCAAAGACAAGGGCGAGTTGGTTTACGACCCGAAGACTGGACAGCGAGTTCGCCCACCGTGTGAGACGGTCTGCGTCAAGGACCTTGTTCGGCAAGTTGCTTTCGGTAGTCGCAGGGGGTGTTTGCATGCCAGAGCCTGATGCCCGGCGACAGCCAAGGAGTGCTTGGCAATTGTGGGCATCTTCGGCGCAATTTGAGACGGGGAGCCAGAACGAGCAAAGTCCGCAAATCGATACAGCTGATTTTTTGGATCGTTGTGGCAGTTTTGAGCCCCATCTCAACACAAAAGTCCTCCGCCATGTGCTTATTTCTCAGAGCATGCTTGCATCTACATCTTTACTTCGGTTTCTGTTTTGAGAGAGAGAGAGAGAGAGAGAGCCGTAGCGCATAGGGCATCGGCAAGTTCAGCACTGGGCAAGTTCTTGGTTGATAGATGCCTGTAACTGAAATGGTTCCTGCTGCTAGTACATGAGACGTGCATTTTCAGGTCTCGTGAACGAAAAGAACAAGGCCTACTGCGAGCAGCGCTGCCAGGAATGTTGACTGCCTGTGGTTTTTGCCGGTGACATTCGTCACATCCTTCCGCCATGGGAAGGATGACTGTGCTGCTGGCGATGGCTTTGGCTCCACGGAGACTTACGATGAAGACAACGAGCGCATCACAAAGGATGCGGACAAAAACCCTGCTGAACGCTTCGCTGCCCATCCTGCAGTTTTCGAGTCTCGTGAGTACGTACCTTGTGGTTGTGCTTAGCAGTTGCAGTGCTTGAGCTGGCTTCAGGCTGAGTGGGCCGTGGAGAGGAATGCGGACGTGCTGGACTCCTTCATGAAGATGCCTGGGGCGAAGCCAGGACGGACTGGCGAAAGAGAGAGGAGAGAAGAGGGAGGCGGAGTAGCGAAAGTGAAGCCGTTGGAGGCCTCGAGCCGGACTCCCTGACATCCCTCGGAGAGCCAAGTGGGCCGAGTGCACCGTCACCCACGCAGCCGCTCTTCGATGCTCGCGACCTCTTCAAGAAGTGAGACCCCGCCGAAGCACCCGGGGACCCGCCGGGCCGAGCCTGTTCTCGGAAATCGCACGGTGACAAAGCGCACGCAGTGCATTCCGCGCAAGAGGAAAGGCCTTGCTGGCATGGGCCAAAGAGACGATCAGGGGTCATGTGGCAATCGCGAGCGCGACACCTCCCCGAATCCTTGCCATTTGCGATTGTCGAGGCCATCCGCAAGCAAAGGAACCAGAGGACTTCCAGACTCCGCTGGGGCCGGCGCTGTCGTGGCCTTGTTCCGTGTGTGGCTGCACGCACGTGCAATCATCGTCAGTCTCCACATGCATGGTCTAAGTGCATTCAGTGCATGCAGATGGCGGCGCCTGAGGTGCATGGAGAGGGTCTTTGGCTCTTTCCCCACATTGGTCAGGCAATCGATGATTTTCCTTGTAGTGTCAGGTCTGCAGCATAAAGCAGTATTACCACTGCATAACAGAAACAGGGTGGTGTCATTATTGTAGATACATGCATTGTAGATACACGCACATAGCGAAATCGCTGTGTCTTGCGTCGAGGCTGACAGGGGACTCAGTCCGCGTGAGAGAGAGTGACAGGGTGGGATCAGGGCATCGCAAGTGAATACAGTGCTCCCTGCCTGCTCTCCTACACCCCACATCCGGCCCCGTGCTCAGTGCAAGGAGCAAGCCATTCCACACTGTGCCGCTGTGCATCCATGCGTGCCGAACATATCGCAAATGCTCGCAGAGCGGGGCTTGAGTTAAGTCTGCGTTTGCAGTGGGCCGGACGGGCATAATCGGGCCAGACAGCAGCGTATCAGGGATAGTCAATCCAATGTAGAAGGGGGGGGTGCAAGAGGGATGGCTTCGGTGCAGGATTCGATGAAAAGGTGGTAGGGGTTGGAGTGGGGATGTTGGTGCGGGGGGGAGGGGGTCAGTTGATACATCATCAGATAGGGGGAGGCGAGTCTTGTAGTAGAAGCTGAGAAAGAAGTCATCAGCGGCAGTTGTGCAGAAAAGCCCACAGCTGACCTCTCGTTGTCCATGGCCAATCTCTCAAGTTTTGCTTCATGCGTCAGGCCTTGCCATCCTTCCTCACCCAGGAGCCGGATCCACAGCTCTGCTTCGCTTTCCAAGAGACAGAGGAACGGATGTTCTGTCAGGTCGTTCCGGTACGTGCCGCTTGCAACCCAAGAGGTGGGAGGGGTGCGTGCTTGAGGATAAAAGCTTTCGGTTTCCTGCCCCGCCTTGACCGTGAGGAGATGCCTCTACAACATGCCGGCGTGCCTTCGGCAGCAGCGAAGCAGAGCGTATCGCAGGGGTAGTCCAAGCTGTTCCGAAACCACTTTGTGAAAAACTGAATCGGATGCTGCAAGGGCCAGGTCGGGCATCCACCATCTTCGGAGAGTTTTACAGGCAAGGCACCAAGATTGTGATCATGATCGGGATTGTGGCCGCGAGCTAGCAGGATGGCATGCACAACCGGGTTCTTTCTCCCTGTCGGTGGCTTTGTGCTTTCAGTGTCGAGACCGGTGTTCGGGGTCCTCTGTGAACCAAGGCCGGCTTCATCCGCTTCCGGTTCCGTGCTCGACGTGCTCCGGTCTCTGTCTCCGTCTTGTTTCTGACGGCCGCAAGGTTTTCAGAGCTTCGCTATGGCCCCGGAGTTCGGTCTTGGCCCCATGGCCCCTTCGGTCTTCGGTCCTCCGGGTCAGGGCCAGGCCGGTCAGGCCATGCAGGCCATGCAGGCCCTGGCCTGCTCTTCTGCCCAGTCCTCTGCCAGGATCCGCGGCGAGAGGCGATGCTGCATGCGGCCTGGGCCGCCAGGCCTGCCCGAAAAAGCATTGCGAACGAAGCTGTACCATAACGTGGAAGGCTGACGCAAGGGAGTCCCTGGTCCTCTGCGTGCAGCTGAGAGAGAGCGCTCTTGCTGAGTCGTTTAAGGCGGCATTGGTTTTTCAAAGTCAAGGCTCCAGCTTCCGCCACCTCGCCCAGCATCGCTTGCGGCTCAATTTCTCAGAAAGCTCTTGGCTTGGCTCACTCATTGATTCAAGAACTCTTCATCTTGCAAAGACCCGCCTAGGCAGAGCCTCCAGTCCGCCACGCCCTGGCCCAAGATCCGGGCCAAGCACGTGTCCAGCTTTGAGACTTCGTCTAAGACTCGAGGCAGAGTTGGCGGGACCGGTGCAGGTGCCAGTGCCAGTACTTGGGTTGCGGCACATGGGGCACGGTGCCGCGTGAAGGTAATGCCGGCGGAAATCCCAATGGTTGGCACTACTGGCACGGAGGCCGCCAATGCCGGGGTGCTCCTTTGTGCTCAGCTGGTTCTTTTTTCTGACCGTACTCATACTTGCATTACTTGCCTTTGTTTTGTTTTCAACTCTAGTTTTGTGCCTTGTAGTCTCGGCTCGAAAGCTCCACTCTGCGAGACAGAGAGGTCGCGCTTTGCCCACTGAGGTTTGCTGTCTGTCTTGGCACCGTGCTCCGCTTCGTGCTTTCTCACATTGAGCTTTTTGATTCTCACTCACTCCCCCATGTTGCTTTCGTTTGCCTGTTATGGATGCATTCAATCCGGGCCTGATTCTGTTCGCTGCATCTGTGGGCCGTCATGTCAAGATTTCCAGAGACGGCAGGAGACTGCCGCCGACCGTTGGGGCGATGTTGCGGCGATCATCAGCCCACAGCGGCTGTCGGCGGAAATCTGAGACCTGCCAACAGCGCAACACAACGAAGTTAAGCATCAAACATCAGACGCTTCCGAGAAGAGTATGCAACGCTACACTTGTGGCTGTCCTGCAAAGGCAGGTACGGCTTGAACATCTTTTGAATTAATGCCACCCGTTGCCCGTAACCCTGGGCTGGGCATGGCCTGTCAATTGAGGCGCGCTCTCGAGTCTTTTCATGAAGTCGCTGACGCAAGTGCAGTGAGAAGAGACCCTCCCTTGCCTTGAAGATCGCTTGCAGGTGGGAGCTTTTTCTAGCTTCTTCTATAGAGATCATGTGAGGTCCGTGTGGTGCTGCTTGTGGCTTGCTGCTTCTGGCTCTCGCAGCTTTGAGCTCCGGCCTTGGGCCATGGCTCCTGCGCCACGGCCTCAGAGAGAGGTGGGACAAGGAGAGTCTACTCTGCAACTCTGTGCCGCCTTGAAAGTGCAGGGAGGACCCGGCGGAGACGTGCCCCCTTCGGCGAGGAGTGCTGGGATCTCAGCTCTGCAACATGTGTTGAAGAAGCCTGCCTGTGCATGCCTGTGCTTGGCACATGCGTCGGCCAGTTCCCGCAGCGGCATGAAGCACAAGCTTGGTGGAGCTTTGTATACCGTTTCCTAATTGGCTGCCAGTCTGTCCCTGGACATCTGTTCATTACCCTCCTCTTTAACTCTTCCTTTGTCTCCTTCTCGGTCGGGATTTTCTCGGAGATGCCGCACATGGTTTCTTGTGTGTGCCTGAGTTGCAGCATGTGACCCTTAAGTCATTAAGGCTGGTGCGCATTCGCGGCCTCCAAAGCGCGGAAGGCTCCCGACTCAACGGGCAGCCGAAGCCTCAGAAAGCGGCTGGACCTGCACAGCTCATTTTGGCTAAGTGATGAGTCAAGGCTGGGGCGATGCGACCGTCTCGATGAAAAGACTGGGCGAAGGGCTCTGAAAGTTTTCCAAGCCGTGTGGATGTGCTTGAGTTTGCGAAACTGACGGAATGGACAGAGCATGGCTTCATTCCAGGCGCTGGGGAGTGATCCTCGGGGACGGTCAGACGAAGGCAGCCCAGAGTTTCACCAGTTGCGACTGCTGGGGACCTCATTTCGTGTAGGCCCTCAGAGCCGACAACATATTCTCCTTCGATGAGTACTTGAAGGTGGGTTCTTGCAGCAAGGCAGCAAGACAGGGAAGCGGCGTCTTCCCTCCATGGTCAGGTGGCTCATGAAGGGCGGACGCCTGTGGATATCGGACTGGCACAGGGGACGCGACTCGTTTTGGCAGGTCTTATGCGCTGATGTTGCAGGACCCTTCATGAACGATTTCTTGACGAATCCCAAGTATGATGTGCCGCGCTCAATGCCCACGAAGTCGCAGACGGGCTGAGAAGACAGCCAAGGCGCCGGCAGGGGCGGCTGGCTACAAGAGTCGAGCAGGAGACTTCAACGTGCTTTCGGGAACAGCTTGCGGTCGACGAAGCTCGTCGAGTAGCCGAGTAGCATCAGCTTGCTGCTCGCCCGTCTTGGAGTGCCAAAGCAGGGCTTTCACCACAAGAGCGGCTTCAACAGTCGTATGACAAGGCTTGACTGCCAGAGCAGCGTCAGACATGCCATGGGCAAATATGCCCGCAAGGCCCAACGTGAAGGTCGAAGAGCAAGCCCTCGATTGAGCCGGGGACCGTTGACTGCAACCCTGAAAGGTCCAGTGTCAATGTGTCTTAGGCAAAGACGAGGAGAAGTCTGGGAAATACTCGCCTTTTCTCGTAAAGCAGGCCTTCGGCCGCTTGAGGGCAGCAGTTCAGTGCGAGAGATATGCGGGACTTGCGCAGGTGGAGCTGCAAGCAGGCTCCATAGAGCTGGGAATCATCGCTCCAAAAAAGCAGGAGAAAGGGAGCCGGAGAGTCGGAGGAAGTGGAAAGCGTGAGCAAACTCTGTCTCAGTCTGCAGGACTCCCGGCGGCCTATCCCTACCATCTTGGCGATTTCAAGAGGCGAGCAACGCCCCGGCCTCAGTCGAGAGTGAAAGTCGGGTGAAGGTCATGGACCTTCCATGGACCCTGCGGCGTCAGGCCATGTCGCTAAGCTTTTCCGAGCTCTGCGCGCGGAAGAACACGGATGGCAACTGCCGGTGTCCCGGCTCTTCGCTCAGGGAGAGGCTTAAAGGATGTGCCGAAAAGAGGCTGGTGCCAATGCGCACGGCGAACAGTCCGGACTTCTTTGAGCCGCTCCTTGGTCTGCAAAGCGCCGCAAGCGCTTCCAGTGCTGCGTATCGATGCTCTCAGGGCCGGCCAGAGTATCTTGGAGCAGCTGATGAAGGTGGAAGGGGAGGGATTCCAGAGATCGGGCCTTTCGGACAAAGTGGTTGCAGGCTGTGCTGGAGGATCGGGAGAGTGACATCAGTCCCTTTGGAGCCATGAGTGCGCTGCTCAGAGGGACGGGAGTTAAAGCATAAAGACCTTCAAACCTCACAAGGCAATGTGTTCCACCTCCTGGGCATCAGCCATGGCTTCCGCCTCGGGCTTCCCATTCGGCAAGGCCAGTGACATGTACGATGAGGTGCCGCTGCCTTGCTGTCCTTGGCCTGCAGAGTCCCCGAGCAAGTTGTCGACCCCCGAGCCTTTGGACTTCTGAGAGATGCCGAAAAACTGTGTGGATGTGCGGTTAAACTCAGGGCTCACTGACGCTCATCCAGGGTTTTCTGCCGCAGCTTTGCGAGGTCCAGGTGGGCATGTTGGCATCACAACACCTGTTCAGCTGTTGCGGTCTCTTGCCTTCTGTTCCGAGGCCCTGAGAAACATGGAGAATATTCGTTTCTACGTCGGCGATCAGGATGAACTTGGCCTTGGCCTTGGCACTCTGCTCGGCTTTGCCCACATCGCTCCAGAGCCCTTTCCCAGGCCATCGCGAGTATCTCCGAGGCATCAAGGAATCCCTCAAGGTCTGAGTTTGCGAAGCCTGTATGCCAGAGTCCAGCGGAGGGTCTCTCTCTGGGAGGAAGCGGGCGGCCGCGCCCACACACATATCGCATGGCACCCGTTTGCCGTCGTCGGAACTGTTTGTGCCCTTCCCTTCGGTGAGGTCAAGGGTGCAAGCCATTATGATATTGACAAGTTCATAGACTTGGAGGAGCGAGCTCAGCAGCGATTCTTTCGGTGTCTCTCTGCGCGTGCGCCGCAGCGTGCGCCGCAGCGTGCGCCGCAGCTGACGCAGGATCTCTGGAAGCGACTGGAGCTGGCTCGATGAGGCGATGCGGCCTTGACCAGTGGCGGCTGCGGCCTGGGAAGTTGCGACCTTCAAAAGTCTTCCGGTGCCCTGCAGGAAAAATGTGCACCCTGATTTGTTGATGTCTTGCAGGCATTTTCATTGCACGACGCGGGAAGCTGCTCAGCCGCAGCACCGGCTCCGAGGACGGTTCCTGTGCGAGCCATGGGAGAGCCCATGGCCAGAAAGCGGAGGAGGGCACTGGATTGCCTGGACCTTCCTCCGGACATCTTGCGTGAAGGGCATGGTGACCTTCCGTGGGCTTGGCGCCTCAATGACATGTCCTTGAGCACACCGCATCCCAGAAGGTCTCAGTCCCAGACATCTCAAGATCTGCTGCCATTCGCTGGGCTCGACAGGAACCTTTGCGCGTCTCCATCCCTCAATGGAGTCAGGACGACTTTATCAAGCCTCCAGGGCTTTGTAGAGCCGGCGGCGCGGAGACCCCGAATGGAGCCAGCCATCAGCTGGCCGCCCTTCTTTGCAGAGAATGGCCCACCCAGAGATTTACCCGAGATACTGGTGTCGGAGAAGAGCGCGACTCTCCCATGGGCCTGGAGGATGCCGTTTGCTGATGCGCAGGAGTGGTGATGATGCGACCGCTGAGGGTGGTAGGTGCTCACGAATTAGGAATTTGGTTGACCACCTTCGTCACACTGCATTCTGAGCTCCAAAAAGTCTCCTACGAAGGAGCCTGTTCGCCTCGTTTCGCCTCTGTTCGTCTAGAAACCATCAGCAAGTGATGGACATCCTGTGTGGCTACAGACTAGAGATATCTAGACAGCTGCTCGTGCTACCACACTCTGCACTTATTCCCAGGGTCTTTACGAATCATTCCCCGATAAGCCTAGCCAACCTCGGAGCAGTCGAAGTCACGTCGCAGTCCACAGACTCCTTTGCAACAGTGCGACACTAGAGGTCACTCGAGATGTTGAGTCCCGCCACGCCATGGACAGCATGCGAGCTTGGAGAGAAGTTGCGTGGCAGTGGCACTGCAAGCACTGCCAGCGCTTCACTCGGTGTGGCTGCTCCTCCAGTTTGGGGGCCAGCCGTTTGCACGCAGCGATCAAGCTGGCAAAGCCGCCTGCACGTCCTGCAAACTGCTCCCGTCGTCCTGGTTGCGTGGCAGTGGCGCAGGACTTTGGAGGGGGCAGAGACAAAAAGAAGACTCCCACGTGACCCGTTCAGGTCTCGCCTAGCAAGACGGGCCAATGCAGTGCCTTCCAAAGGAAGAGGCTGGTTTGCATTCTCGATGCTGGATAAGACCGATAAGATGTTAAGGCAAGAGCTGGATTGGCCAGGCATGAAGCCTGTCGTCAACTGGCACCGTGTTCGGCTGCTGGTCTTAGGCGGGCTGCTTGCGCGCGTAGCTCGGACGCGGCCTTCGATCTCTGCCAGGAGCCTCAGCCTGTTTTGCCATCTACCGGCTGGCCAAATGGGGATCAGCTCAACCTCTGGACACCTTCACCGACAGGGCACGTGCGTATCACGGCGTCTGCGGATCTTTAGCCGCTGACCTGGCCTTTTCATCCGTCGCGTTCATTGCCTTTGCTGTCTGCGCCGGTACAGAAACTGCAATCACCACTTTGTGGCCTTGGAAAGTCCGGGAGTATGCTCAGCGCGAGTACGAGAAGGACGTGGGTGTCGAGTAACCCAGACCGAGCTTTACAATCCCCGACATAATCTGAGCAAGTTCCTTTTGGGCATCCCGCCGGCTTTCTGTCGCAGGCGGAGCAGAAGGTGAAGGAGAGTCGTGAAGGTGGCGGTCCTGAGATCGATGCCAAGGCGCCAGTACGATTGACTTAATCCGTCTAAGGGTCGTTTGCAGGCTTCCTGCAGAGCAAACGACAAAGGCATCCATACGTTGTAGCTGTGATTGTCTCGCAAGTGCAGTTGCATGGAACCCTCCTTGTCCTTTAACTTGCCTCCGTCCTGCGACATGCCGACAGCCTGCAAACTTTTGCATCGCGCTTGCATTGTCTATCGGGCACATCTCAGTGATCGCCTTTGTGCGTCAGTGCGGGACTGTACGCACCATGATCCCAATGAGAGACTCGAACCATTCGTAAAGCAGAAACCCGAGCCAGAGCTTACACGGTCAACAGCCCACACACAAATTCAGCTTGCAAGCGATGCGTTCCTAAAAGCTTCAGACGGCACTGGTTGACTCTTGGGAGACTGCAGAGCAAGCACTACAAGCCAGACTGGCAGATGTAACCACCGTGGACCTTTCCAAAGTGCAAATTCGCCCACATGCAGTGGTGCATGCCAGTGACTTCAGCATAGCAAATTAGTTGGAGGTTGCTGATGGTGATGGGTGATGAGTTACATGAATTGCATGTGTCAGCGAGAGGCGCAGCTTGGCAAATGGACTGCCTTGAGGGAGGACATTCAGCGATTCATGCAGACTATCCTCATTGGGGCTACGTTGGCCGGTGCCCCGCCTACACTGCTGTCTTTTCTGTTTCGTTGACATTAGTTGGAGCGGTGGTTGTTGGCCGGCGAGGCGTCGTAAGCACTGCCTTCATCACAGAAATCTGCGGACAGCTGTTTGGGCCTCGTGGGCTGGGAATCGTGCGCTCCTCATGGGTTGGTAGCTTTCCTGCCCGTAGTGGTCATGAGTCATGCCTGTACACGATGCTGCTGAGTACGAGATTTGGAGGCCACCGTGTCAGTGACTTTGGTGCAGCTGACGCCCAGCGCTCGGACTCCCCCGGGTGGGCCAGGACAGACAGCAGAGTCCGAAAGTGTTCGCGGCGGCCGGGTAAACCTGTGTGTCGGGTGATGCTAACTGTGCTTGTGTCTGTGCACGACAACCGCCTGCTGCTGCTGCTCCTGGCTCGTGCTTGCGACGCCTGTGGCACTTCCAAGAGCTGTACTGCCCGATGCTTTTTGTGCTCGCTTTGGTTGTCCCGGCATGATGCGGGGCGGCTGATGAAACATGCCGATTTTCTTACGCATTGTTGTTTTTTGTTGAGAACATGCAGGGCCCTCGAGCGCAAGTGAACCGGCAGCCGTAAAGCCAATCATGGCGTACAGCAGATTCCAGCAACAAGATGCAGCGGCAGGCTTTGGCAAGGGCCAAGGAGATTCCTGTCCTGGAGCTAAGCTTGTCGCATGGAGCTGAAGGCCATGTGACAGAGCACCCCTCGACGACCGGCTGACCAGTGTCATGGAGTGGAGAGAGGGACAGCGGGCGCGAGCGGCAAGAATCATTCACATCTTGTGCCCAGACGCTTGCAAGTGTGGCGTAGTTCCTCACATCCCGGACGTTGCGAATCTCCAAGGTTGGGGGAGATCCTGCCGAAGAGCATGGCAGTTTCAAATCCGTACAACTTCGCACAAGCTACGCTGCCAGTCTTCTACAGGTCCGACGCAGCTGCTCACCAGAGGAGGGGAAACTGGGTGGATCGCATAGACCTGGGGCAGGATTTCGACCGTCGTTTACCCGGTCAGCAAGATCCTGAATGAGGCCACGCGTTCGAAGCGCATTGCAATGAAAGCGCTGCATCGTTCGAGTCAAAAGGCAGTGGTCACTGATGTCCGGTGAATCTGAGGCCATGTCGCTCCTGCTCGCCATGTGCGGAGTACCGGTTGACACCAAGAAGACCCCGTACGTTTCAGAGGAGGCATCTAGCCCAGCTGCCAGCTGTGCAGTTGCATCCGCATCGCAATAAGGTTCTCCGAAACTGAGGGTTTGCCATCGAATTGCCAAGGAGCTCGATCTGGTCTTCCGGTCCGCGATGCAAAGCGGAATTGTGGACGCGGAGGAGGGTGAGATGATTCGAAGCGTCCGCAACCTGGACAGCAAGCGAATCAAGGCCGGAACGGGGATTGCAAATCGATGCAAAGCGAAGCATAAAGACGTCCTCTGCCGGTCAGCATCGAAGCATGCATGTACAATCTTTTAATTCTCGAGGAGATCATGACACCACTGGTCGACATGATCTGCATCGAGTCCCACGAGCCCATTTCCAAACTTCATAATGTCATCAAGGAGACACAGCCCCATGGCTTCAAATCCTAGACGGAACCGAAGTATTAGAAACACTCGTGGGCTTTTGCACCGGAAGCGCCAGGTTCAGCAGAATTCCTGTGTATGAAGTCCGCTTTGATAACATCGTCGGTGATTTGGCGGCAACGAGACCTGATGCGACTTGATGCTTTGAAGGACATGCCAGATTCAATGGCTGCACCGCCTCCTTGTCTGCTTTGCATGTGTCGCACGTGATCTTGTATCCACTACTCCCAGGCGTGGTGAGTATGAAGACATTGTTGAAGAACGCCAATTGTTTGGAAGACTTTGTCAGCGACAACACAAAGAAAGTGCAAGAGATCTGTGATGTACCCGTCTTCGTGCCCGCATCCTGGCAGATCCGAGAAGCAAAAGTGTTAGAGCATTCCAAACCTTCTAGAATCTAGAAGCTCTGAATGCACAAAGCGTCGTTGCGGCCGTTGCTGTAAGCCCCCTGGTGCTGAGGAGACGATGTCACTGATCTCAGCCTTGCGTTTGCTTAAAGAGCGGACACTGGCGATCTGCGTGGACACGGGTTTGCTCATTGCATGATTTTCTGATCTAGTGCTTCGACAGAGAGGGACGTGGGGCGGGAAGGCAACCAGCAGATCCCGACTCAGGGCAACTCGCTGGTGCATGTTTTGGTATTATCAAGGAGGATTAGGGTCCAGTGCAGGCGGTCGCATGGGATTTGTACAGAGGAGGGGATGGATGTTCATCACGCTTTATCTACTGTGAACTGGTGAAATTCGGCATGGCTTGAACCGCACGCTGCAGGATGAGTATGGGGGAACTACCGGGCTGATTACTTTGGAAGACGTTTTGGAAGAGAGGCTTGGTCGGGACAATCGAGATCTTGGACCTAAACCCCTGCATGATGCCTGTGTAGATTCATAGCCAGTTCACATAGGATCGTGCAGCTTGACGCGTGCATGCGTGCTAGCAGGATCGCTATCGCTTCTGAGGATTGTTGGTGAGATATACGATCCGGATGAGGAAAAGGACAGGGTCGAGAAGCAACAGAACAGCGCCAAAATCCAAGTGTGTCTGGGCTCGGTTAAACCTTTCTTGTTGAGTGGCAAGTCTGGTGGACCTGGTAGGAGTTGACCAAGCAGCACCAAGCGTAATGGTTTAGAGGTTTAGCTTGATGCCGTGGTTCCTACCTTTGAGTTCCGGCATTCCAGCGCATTGAGGCTGGGCCCTGATCACTTCTCCATGAGTGGACTGGCTGAGAAAGGCGATGTGGAGGAGATCCTCGGAATAAAGATGCCAGAGGGCGACTACAACTCAATCGGAGGATTCATGTGCATGACCATTGACCGAATTCCTGTAATTGGGGAAGTTGTAATGGTGGAGACAGCAGCGGAAAGGATCCGCTTCGAGGTTGCAAGCGTGGATGACCGCAGGGTTCTCTCAGTTGAAGCTTTCCGGAGTGGAAAAGATGGCAAGAGCGACGAGGAGGCTGAGGATGACGCGCAGGAGAAGACCCCCTCCACGCCTGTGTGCCCTCTGATACTCTTTATTAGGATGCTCTCTTGTAAACTCCTCGTGCAGGATGTGCGATATGAGCCATTGATTGCTGTTTAGTGTGACCACTCGTGTTGCGTGTTGCTCTTGGAAATCCCCTGATGCAATCACGAACGAGAGCCGCAAAGTGCTTGGACATGCTCTCACATTCGCATGTCTCCACGCGCTCAGCGTTGGCAGGAGACAGAGAAGAACCAAGTGATCTTTATTGAGGTGGAGGACATGGAGGCGGAGTCAGATGTATTGTCGTCAGACGCACCAGTGGTGGAGCTGCTTGCGGAGGAGAGGGCGGAGTCAGAGGTTGGGTCGTCAGCTGCGTCGGTGGTGGAGCTCGAGCTTGTGGAGGACATGGCCTCCAAGGCATCTTCAGAGGCACCTGTTGAAAAGGGGACTTTGAAGAAAGTCGCGAAAGAGGCGAAGGCGAAGGACAGCCCAAAGGTGTTAAAGCAGCCTGACCCGGAGTCCCAGTCTCAGACTGGGACTCCAAAGCTATCCCCTGAACCCACCAAGAAGGATACCGACCGCGGCAAAGGCCTGCCGGATGCAAAGCCGTCCGATGAGGCTGGAGATAGCTCAAGTCGGCCTGCAGGGGCAGGGAAGCCCGTGGGGAAGCCCCTGTCGGGCACAGAGACACGTGTGGATGGGAAAGAAAAGGATGCAAAGGACGCAAAGGCCAAGCCAGAGCCGGAGGCAGAGCTGCCGAGTGAGCCGCCTAAAGAGGCAGGCAAGGGCTCTAAGGGCGGGACATCATCGGTTTAATCTTTCTTAGCGTCTCGCCAATCGGCGCAACTTTGCGCGTCTTTGTACAAAGTCATAGCGGAAGTGCCGTCCAGCGTATAGAGCCCCCATGGCTGACGCATGTGCGAGGAAAAACGATTTCACAGCGGGCGCCATTGGCAGGGCACTGCAAAGATCCTAGCGGTCCTAGCGCAATGCAAACGGGACCTTGGCTCCCTGCTTGCTGCAGAAGTGTTCTGGTGGCTTTCTGAACTTGAACTATCTTGAATTTTTTTGGGCGAGAGAGTGTTTTCAAGAAGATCTTGACAGGTTTGCCCGAAAAGCCATATCGCGCAAAGCTGCCAAGTATGAGAGATCACTTGAACCCAGCTTTGAGCAAATTTGAGCTTCTTCAAAAAGCGTATCCCCACCCATAGAGCCACTAGGTGAGGACAATTCCTCGGTGTGGCCCTCGCCCGGCACCAAAACAGGAGGCCCAGCTGCAAGAAAGAAGCCCACGCTTTTTGAAGGTCGTGAAAAGGACAGGCTGACAGGGACCCAGGGAAACGGAGAATGAGATCTGAAAAGGGCCAAGGACAAAGCTGCCTGAGGGATGCGAACCGTTCATTGTGCAGTGTCCCTCCGCTCGCTATTTCAAGTTTCTATTTGATCAGCAGATATGTGTTCTACTGGTTGTTCCCATAACAAACCGCTTGTGGACACCTCAGGCACGTTATTGATGGCAGCTCGGCCTTTCAGCGTGGGACGCGGGAATGTTCTGGATGTGCACAGACTGCACAGAGCCAGCGTAACTTGAACTTCACTCCGCGGAGAATTTTCTGAACGTTTATGGCTATAGCCCGGCTCTCGAAAACTTGCAGCATTGGATGCATGTGAGAGAGGGAGGCACCGAATACGGCACGGTCACCCCCGCCGGAGGGGAAGGAGAGGAGAGACTTCCTCCTCCGTGCCCCCAAACGCTTGGAGAAGAACAGCCCCAGCACCGAGCAGCAATTGAGCGAGTGCTGAAATCTCAAGGCCTCCCAATGATAGGACGGCCTTTTGGTTCACTTTCTTCGCTCTTGGCCGGCCGGGCAGCCTCCCGAATGGGGACGCCAATGAGCTCCCTGGGCCCGCTCGGCCAAGCACGGGCCCCTTTTTTTTTTTTGCAAAAATATCTGAGAGTTTGCGCCGATTTCCTCCTTCCGAGGTGGCTGCGGTAGACATGTCAGCCGGAGCCTCGACTCCACAGCAATTCTTTTTTGACGGAGTATATCTGTGGCCGGGCAGGTTCAATTTGCATGCTTTGCAGTAGCAGCTGCCCTTCAAACAGAGAAGTTCTACGACATCTCTGCCAGGCGGGAATAGAGAGGAAGGGGCACAAGCGATTGAGCCGCGAGCCGTGACAGTTTGACGTATGTGCTCTGCGTTCTCCTCTCCTTTCGGGCTGGCGGCCGATCCACGAGGCGACGGATGCCAAGTCCTCCCTTTGGATCCAGTTGTAGCGTCGCAAGAGAGCCGCCCCAGAGGTGCAAAGTCAACTCTGGTCTCGTCATCGCCCAGAGCCCGGACTCTCACTCACCATCTACGGACCTTTGACATCACTCTGCACTGTCCGAAACAGCATCCGATTCCTGCATGTCGCCGCAGCACAAGCAAACTGCAGTCAGCATGGATGTGCTGAGGCATGGGCCCTGCGCCTGGGCAGTGCCGGGCACAGCTAGAGCATGATGATCCTGTTGCTCTCAATTCGTAGCTCAGCACGAAGCCACACACCCTCATGTCATGCGAGTTTATTTTTGGGCGATGTGGAAAAGCATTGCCGCACGTAGATTCTCCTAAGCTGCTAAACCTTTCGGAGCAGGGCCTAGCGTGCAAGCAGGGTCTCCCAGGTAAGTCAGTGGCTTGTGCTTAGATTTCGGTTGAAATCCGGGCTTTCAGGTGCTACATTGTCCCAGAAGACAGGAGAAACACAGACCAGCGCAGCAGGACATCGCCTAGACGGGGTGCTGCATCTGCAGCCACGGAGCTTCGTTAATGGGTTGGCGCATTTTCCGCAACAATGTTGCTTTCTGAGGTTTTCTGTTGTGGCGCGTGGTTCATGACGGAGGCGACAGCCGATTTGCGAAGGTCCTTGTCTGAGCCATGTCGCGTCCGACCTTTGATTGGCAGCAGCGCGCTGAGGTCAAGATGCATCCCAGCAAATTCTTCGTTTTCTGGGCTGTGCAGGTCTGGAAAGCGATGTTAGCACACTGTGACAGGGAGAGAACGATCCCGACCCCAGAAGGCAGTCTGGATTCTTCTGACCGCCCTCCCTGTGTACCTCTCCAACAGCAAGCCGAACACAGAGGCCTCTGCCGGGCTGACGCGTCTCGGCGAGTGCACCGAAGTCAGACAGAAGCACAGGCCGAGCTTGAAGAAGGCCTGCAGAGGCGCGGGAGAGAGAAGGTGCTGGCCTTAATGAAGCCATGGCCTGTCCCAACAGAACAGGCCATCGAGCTGCCAAGGTTTGCTGGCGGGATATTCTGGGCTGGAGTCTATGGGGAGCTGGCTTCACTGTTCAGGCCGGGTTGGCAGAGCCTCCCTCTTTTCGTGCGAGCCGCGAGCGAGCCCGCGTTCGGAGGTGGTTGCAGACATGCAGAAGAGACTCTTCCAGGCCAGACTTGTCATCTTAAGGAGCTGTGACCACACCTCTGAATTCGGAGGCAGACCCGAGGAACAAAGGCCTCTGGATTCAGACGGGCTTGTGGAAACTGGCCCAGCATCCGAACTACTTTGGCGAGCTGGCGGCTGAGCAAACTGAGCTCCGACGATTGGCTTCTACCAGTAGAATACAAGCGCCGCAGGATTTGCATGTGGTGGGGTCTGCTTCTCAGCACTGCAATTCACACTTCGTGATGAGCTTCGCTGGGCTCGAAGGGGTGCTTACCTAAGGCCTTTTCCTTAGTTGTTCAACGACTCTCAGAGGATGGGAGCTTCTGTCCGTGGCACTGGCCTTGGGAGCCTGCTGTACACGTGTGGCTAGCAGCTGCTGCGGAGAGCAGGCATCTCCTTGCTTTGCCGCACTCTGAGCTGAGCCGAGACCCGCAGAGACGCTTGGGATTTCTTCACAGAATGCAGGTCGCCTTCCTGCTGCTCCGCGTGAGTGCGGCTGTCAGAGGCCCAAGCCCTTAGATCGAGTGATCCTGGAGTTGGCCCAGGTGGCGTGCCTCTTCTCCGCAAGGCTATTGAGACTTCTCTAGCCAGATTGGTCTAGCTTTATTAGCATTAAGAAGGCAGATCCTGTGCACCAGGCTGGTCTAAAGCGCTGGGGTCATCTTCAAGAGTATCAAGACTACTTGAAGAGGCGTGCTCGAAGCTACTTCAGGGTCTGTGGTTCAGTTTGTTTTTCCGTTTTTCATGTCAGGACTCGCTTGCTGGTACCACTGCCTCGACGGTTGTGAAGCTGACGTGGAACCAGCGAGAAAACATGAGTGAAGATTATCCGACTGAGATCGGCTCTTGCTGTGCAGGATTGGACTCATCTTGTGCTTCCCAGCACGGCAGCTACACCAAAGAAATGTACGTGAACTGGCTACACATCTCGGCTTGAGTTTGGGCTCTGGATTGCACTCTCTAAGTCGAGGTTCTGGGTTCAACCATCCCCCTTGTCGACTTGAGGTTTTTGGGTCTGCTTCGACGTGGCACTTCTTCAGCTGACATTTGAGCCTTCAACATTACGGACCAAGCCATGTATTGGCATGTACATGTTACAGTTACAGTGTATATGAGCTAGACCCCCTTCCGAGACCCCAAGGCGACAATAATCATGTCTGAGAATGTGCTGGTTTGACCTATTTCTGCTAATAGCAGGGTGAAGGATCCCATTTTATCAATCTAATCTGTGTTGCGGTCTAGTCTTGGTTAAAAGCGTGTTATGAACATGTTTTCTAAACAAACGTTATACTGTTACACTTTAAGTGTAGTACAGGTCCGATCAACCTGATTAGTTGACATATTGAAGAAGACAGTTTACTCCACGAGCATGTGTAAGGAATAAGGAGCAGGGTCTCTAGCAGAGCCAGAAATGAATGAGTTTCCTCTCATCGCCGGTAGTCTAGTACACCCTCGATTAGCACTGAAATTGGGCCCGGCATTCGTGGCGTTCCGGAAGATTCGGGTTCGGCCGGCTGGGCTTCCTCAAGCCGCAGACCTCCAGTTCTGCGTTCCCCTGGCCCCTGCATCCTGCAGTCACTAGGTGATGGACTCAAAGAATCGGGCCCCGTTGTTCAAGTACAGGTTGTGGGTGAACCTGCATGCTTATGAATGCAAATGCTTTTTGCGTGCAGCATTCTAGCACACCATATGCTCCAGCAGCCCTCAGCAGTGCAGCTCCGAAGGCAATTTGTGGAACAACTCGCATATTGAGCAACTTGTAGAATGTAGAATGAAAGCGGCAAGTCCCAGCAATGTCTTAGCCTCTCTAGGCCTGGAATGGCGTGACGCGCAACCTTCCGTGTGGCTACGTAGTCCCGAAACATTCCTGCGGGCTGTAAATCGTTGCATTGTTTGCAGGGCCAATGCAGCTTTGCTTTCAGCCAGCAAGGTTCGATGTAGGCACCGCTTGTGTGCAGACATGGTGGGGCATGGCGAGATCGAGCTACTTCCGCAAGGCCCGGAAACTCAGGGTGCAAGTGGAATAAAACAGGGCATTTGTCGGTGAGGAAGGCTCTGAACGACGAATGCATAATGCATGGAACATCATGGAGCCCTGCATGTAGGTACACATGCTCCCGGAGACGGGTTCAACCTGGCAGCCGTGGCCAGGAACGTAGGATTGCCAGCCGGAGCCCCGTCATTCGAAGTAAATGTGCCCACAGCTCGGGCCGTCAGTTCAGATTTGGGAATGGAGCCAGTATTGACGCGATGCTTGCTGGATCAGCGCGTGAGGACAACTGCCAGCGCCGCAGAGTCTACGAGGTGAAGCTTAGAGAAAGAGTGACGAGTGGCTTCTGAGCAGAGTCTGTGTGCCTGCGCCCGTGCGCCCGCGCCTATCATCTGCTCAAGGCTTGGCACGACTTGGGCCTGGGTGGCCGGAATCGCTTCCTCTGCGCGGGCAGGTGCGTTTCCTTTCCACGAGTCGTGCATGACCTTTGCTAGTGAGGCATGTCGTGAACTGCCCATGATGTCAGGTGCATGGTCGGCCCGAACATCGACAAGCGCTTTCAGCCGATGGTCCGCAAGAAGTCGTATGTAAGCCTGTCACGTCATGGACAGCTTCGGTTTCCAGATTGTGGGAGCGTGATCTCAAATATCCGGGACGATTATCCGATGGGTGAAGCGGCAGTCGGAGAAACACCAGCCCGGATCAACACCGCCGAAGATGGCAAACCCTTTTGCCAATCAGAAATGCACGGGCCTGGATTGGAAAACGCACAGGCTGCAAATCACCAAACGGAGAGGGCCCAAAATTTTACTGCAAGATACTGAGAGAGCCCAATCCGGAAACACACGGCCCTAATCAGATCCGGGCACTTTGTTGATCACGACTGGTCACATTTGTTAAGCTCGCCCCCTTATGATTGTAGAATCCGCCCCCTCAGTAGGCCATTGCAGTTGATTACACGATTGCACTTCGTCGACCCGGCCCCTCATCAAGCGATGGCGGTTACGACCGCCGCCTCATCCCCCCTCAGTCACCGATGACGGCTGACACGACCCTTCATCGGGTGATGCCAGTCGGAAAAGGTTGATATGAGTCAGGGTTGATCTTGTGTGCAGGTGTTGTCCTTGCTGAGCTTTCGGTGAGAGCTGTGAAACTTTGCACGTGCACTCTCGTCCCCTCGTCCGAAGCAGAGACCTGCCCTGCAGCCTGCGATGAGGCAAAATTAGGCGATGGCGGCGTGTCACATTTCTTGTAAGCCTGGCCTCGCATTGGGCGATGGCGGTTGATCACATGTCTTTAACCCATTTCTCATTAGGCGATCATGGCTGCTCACATGTCTAAAGCTTGCCCCCTCATTCGTAAATCCGCGCCCTCACTAGGGCCCCCCAAAAGAGCTGACGACCTCTGACCACTAATCACAATACTCAACACCGCGATGGCGGTGGATTGCAATGCTTTAACCTACTACGCCTGAAGTGTTGCCAGACAGGGGTGAAGCTCAAATCAAGCCCTCATCTCTGAAAACACACGAGCCACGGGCGGGGTGGGTCACCAAATGCTCAGAGGTGAATCGTAATCAGGTTTGCGGCTTCAGAAAAGTAAGGGGAGCGAATCATCGATGTAAGGCTGACAGCGCTACACCTGGTCATTCAGTACAGATTCTTGCAAAGATGTGTCTACTGCAACGTTTAGCGGATAATCCAAAATCGTGAAGCTAAATTAAAAACTTGCGATATTTGGTCATGAGGTCGCGGCCAAAAGCTTCAAATCAGCCCTCAAAGCAGGCCCAAATTCAGCTCGTGACAAAAACGCAACAAATCGCTTGCTGGTATCGTAAGAAGGGTCAAACGATACCTGCCGTGCTGGCTTCAAATCAAATCAGCCCCCAAAGCAGGCTCGAATTCAGCTTCCGGCAAAGCCTCAACACGTCTGTCCTTGTAGTCAACTTGTAGCGCAACAACCGTCAGAGAAGTCATGGTGGCTCCGGAACAGATTTGATTGATGGCAACCTGCCTTGGATATTGTAGGTAGCCGACCGATTCGCCTTCTTGCAAACGCCGTTTCACGCGCTGGCCGACGAATTCGCAGTTGTCCGCACGCTGAGAACCCCGATTTGTGTACAGTGTACGCGCAGAAGCTCGACTCGAGCAACCTGATTCTCGCGCCAGCCACGCCGATTCGCGCGGGCAGTTTCGGGAAGTGTGAGAACGGGCGAGCTTAGGAAATGTGACCAATCTCATTGTGTGACGAGGGGCAGAAATGTCATAAAGCGCAAGCGCATCAACCGCAATCGGCTACGGAGGAGGTGGTGTTGAGAAACGTGATGAACCGTCATCGCCTGATAACGGGCGGGTTGAAGAAATGATGGACCGGGCAGGGTCTCAGCTGGTACGATCTGTGAATTCAATTACGCGCGTCTCGTTCATGTACGTTTGAAGAACTCCGGTCTGGAAGTGGCCAAGGCACAGTGCAGCAATCAAAGAGACAATTTCAATGCTCACACTCATCACAGACCACAATCGTCTACTCAGGATGTGCACCTTCTGCGCTTTGTTTGTGCACACAGCCTCAGTTGTTTGGTTCGGCAGTTCGGCAGATTTTTCTGCATTCCTGTGAGCGCACGTAATGTGTCGGTGGTCGCGCATGCTTGGATGACATCAGCTGCAAGGCCGTCGCTTTTCTACTTTATCTTCTGCATGCGCGGACCCTGACCGATCACCTAATGACCTAGCGGCTTCAGTTGCAAAGCATTCGTCCGTAAGGCGCTACCTTTGGGAGAAGGTTGTGACCCCCAGAGACTGCAGATGGTGCGAGTGTGTGACGGTCCTGATGCAAATCTTGGAGAGCAGCCAGGTCAGCCCATGGATGCCTGTGCTGACCGGCATTCTGCTGTTCTCGACTGTTTCGCTGTGGCTTCTGACGGCCTGTACTGATCCAGGTGCCACTGCGGATTGATCCTGTCCGCTGTCACGGCTTGCAATGTCGTCGTAGGGGCGAACAAGTCTGGGTCATGCGCAGCAATAGTGGGCTTTACACGGGTGCCTGGCGCAGCCGTTTTGACAGGGCTAGACCTGTTTGCCTGACGCAGTGTGTCGACTGTCAGGACCAGACCCGGATGGTGTTATGTGTTGCAGCAGATATTGTCAGTGTTCGCAGATTCCCAAAGGTTCTGAGTCAACATGCTAAGCGATGTGCAGGACCGTGGCATGGATGCGTCATGGACGACATTCATGAGCATGACGGGACCAGCATCCGCCAGACAGGGTCTTGGAGAATTCCAGGTTAAGTTGATCTCCCTCGTGCAAATGTGCGTGTTCCAGAAAATGCGGGTCATTGTCGGATGGCCAGACCAAGGTGCTTCAGGCAGTTCGGGCCAGATGACACAGGAGAGCGAGAGGAAACCCGTCAAGGTCTCGCGCATGCGACGGCCTTACACAGTGGCTTGTCGAGCTGGGATTCTGTCTCAAATAACCATGTCTTGGCGCAGAGGCGAACGCCACTGTCGTCCAAAGCCACGCCGTTTCGCTCCAAAACTGCAGGGTACCTTGGGATGGTGGGTATCAAGAGGTCTGATGCAAGATGCTTTCACCGGGCTCTGTGCAGGTACTGTGCCACCATGAAGGCTGGATTTGCAGACTCCATGACCTACCCATACAGCCCTGAGTCTCCTGGCTGCAGTGGGTTGGAGTGCCTTTAAGTATACACCAATGCCGACCCCGGACCCAAGGTTGCAAGACTATGCGCGGATCCTAGCTATAACGGAGACATGTTGGCACGCTTGGAATCGCAGGTGGGTTGCCAGCTTTTGCATGTTGTTGTCTGCACTGCAGGTCTATCTCAACATGGGAAACATGACCCCAAGTGCTGTGAGTGGAGAGGAGAGTGCAGGACCGATGCAAGATGTTTCTGGGAGAGCTGGCTAACACTGTTTGTGAAGACCTGGCACATCTTTTTCGAAAGCACTGGTCAGACGGTGATACGAAGAGTCATCGCAACTCCGGCCCAATTGGCCGCCAACAATCGTGCAGGATATGGCACTGGAGCTGGACACCAGTCCGTCGACAGCAGTTGCGAGGACGTTACCCCGTCTCTGCTGTGGGATGGGGATGTTGTGCCGGCTGGTCGTGTTGTATTTGCGGATGCGAGTCTTTTCCTGAACGGAACCCACGCGAAGCATGTTCGCAGTAAAAAGGAAAAAGCATGTCCACGCAACTTCTAACTGGCAACGATCGTGGTCGACTCTGGCTTCTTCACGCGCCGCCTCGCCGAGCCTCCTCGAGCCGAGGCGAAAACTGCGCATAACAAAGTCACCGCTCTCCTTGGCCCCTTGGGGTCTCATCTGTGGCGTGATCCGAGGGCCTGACCCAAGCCGCTCGTGTGTCGAATTCAGAAGGACAATGTATGGCCGAGTGTCTATGTCACCAAACCCTACAGTGTGTGTGTGTGTGTTTGTGTTGGGATTCGAAACAGAACATCACTTTTTGCGTTATCAAATTTCTTACTGATACTTCTATGGGTTTAGAAATGCCATCACTGTAAATGTGCATTTTTGTAAGGACTTGACCGTAGCTTGCCTGCAGCAGGAACCCGTGGCTGTGGTACCCCGAAGAGCCACAGTGGACAAGAGGCGGCAGCCATTCAATGCAGTCCGAAGTCCGAAGCGGAGTCAGCTTAAAATTGTTCCTCATCTGCCAGAACACTGCGTCTGCCATCTCGCACCCCCTCACCTGAGCAGCGATTCCACTGGTCCGATTCGCTACCTGAGAACAGGCGGGATCCGATGCGTGGACGCGTATAAGCGTGTGTTGCCTAGTTTGGTCTACAGAACAGCTGAGGCCAGAGCCTGTGCCCGCACTTGCTCTTGAGCACGTGGGTGAACTGTCGGATCGGAGCCTCGCCCGCACTCACGACAAGGGTGCACGCAGAGGACCCTTCCTCACCTGCCGGGATATTAATTCTCGCTCCGGGAACGCTTGCTTGTGACGCACTCGCACTGGAAATTCTTTCTTTGTACATCGGGGTGCTCATGAGTATAAGTAGACACTTCTCTGGACATTGTGTTCCTCTTGGTGCCTTGGTGTTGAAATACTCTTTGACCAGACGTCGCGGACGTTCGCAACAGCTGCCATGTCGAAGCGCTGCTGGATGTGAACGTCGTGCGGCTGTTCCAAGGATGTTCACTGTACCAAGTTGATGCCTCCCCTTATTGCTACCTTCATCCAACCGCAGGTGCACATTTCATTGTTGGTGGCGGTTAGCAGACAGACATGTTTGTGAATGCCGCCCCAGGCTCTCGAAAAGGCAAGTGTAAAGAGTCTCAAGAGGCAGCGGGGGCGGGGCTGGTCGGCATGCGATAAGGAACATGGAGCCGATGGAGCAGATCCCTCTCCAAAGTATCCGGAGAGACTCCTTCGAGGTGTGGGGACAATGCGTACTCTTAGTTAGCCGCGAAAAATCTCAGTAGCTGGCATGCATGGCCGTTTCATTGTGAATACTCTATGGTTTGCCGCTTTTTGCGGAGGAGCGCCGATCGCTTCGTGGTCAGCTTCCTCTGCATGTCAAGCGGACGTTCATACACTACGACACTTGTCCTTTTGGTCGAACTGTGGGTTCGGGAGAGCGCGTGACAGCCAAGAGCCCTCTGCTTGTCGAAGGACGACCATGAGCTGGAGCTTGCGCAGACAGATGGGGGCGGACCTAGGACAACCAGGCCAGTTCGGGGGCAAAGCTAAACAAGTCGACTGCGGGATGCAGTGAGCTGACCTGGGAACTCGCAGAAGTGTCGCTCAGATCGTAGCAGCCTTAGCACTCAGGCGTCTCCAGCGATCGGAGTCAGCGCCAGCAAGATTGCTTTCACGGCAAGCTGGTCAAATCATTCAGGCCAGGCCAAGAGTCCTAACCTCCCAAGATGCTCCAGGGCCCACAAAGACGCCGCCAGGCACACATCAACGGCACATGCAAGCCTTGCGGCTATTTCTTTGCCAAAGCAGATGGGTGTCGGTGGCACAACAACTGCACGTTTTGCAGGGTGCCTATGCTTGTTCGTGTCTGCCCTGCCTGCACTACAGGGATTTCGTTTCTGCAAGGTCACCTATGCCCACCTGGAGAGCTGAAGCGACGAAAGAAGCAGAAGTGGATCGCCCAGCCAAGCACACGAAGTTTGTAAGGGTGCAAAAACGGGTCCGCTGCGGTCGGCTCCGAGGCGCGCCATGCTGAAAGCAAGAAATGGTGCTCAGGCGCAGAACAGCCTCCTTGGCTGCAAGTGCTTACCACTAACACGTCCGGTGCAACCTGTCTGGGAGCTGGCTTGCTTTTGGCTTGTGCTTGTGCATGATGATTATCCAAATGCTGTTTCAGCTTGATCGGGTGACCGTGTGACCTAATAGGTGGCCCGATGGAGTGGATCTCTTGGATGCTGTTGCATATTGCCCCCAAGTCACCATAATTTGTTTCTTTGGTCTGAAAGATGCAGAGACAAACCAGGATGAGTGTCCGGAAATGGGGCTCAAGACGGGTGCAACAACCCCACACGGAGTTCCAAGGCGACCTACAGCCACCGGGAATCACGCCAAGTGGAAGAATCAGTGTAGCCCATCTCCGCGAGCATACGACTGAACCACTACACAAGCTACTCTTACCATTGGTGTCATCATCCACATGACCATACAAGAAGTCCCAATCAAGGGGCTCAGGTGTGTAAATGCCTCGAAGCCCCACTCTCGCATGGAGAGATGCAACGAAGAACATCGCCAAAGCTCAAAGGCGAAACGTAGCACATGAACAATCGGGCAGCCGTAACTATAGCATGTGCGACGGGGGCTTACCTCGACCAAACCAGAACACCTGAGCTGGACGCTCTACTGCTGGAGAACGATTTCGATGGTGACATCAGGGAAAAGTGACGTCCCCGGTGGCAGATTGCCCAATCATGTGTATGCAGGAAAAAATGCCCAAGTCTGGGTCAATCACATGCTCCAACGATGCCCGAAGTTCAGCATAAGCGAAATATTGGGGTAATGTTCGGCAGCGCTAAGGTCCATGGGCAACCGATGAGGCAGACGAGCAAGCTTGATGGGTCACCGCGCTCTTTGCGCACGATGGGTTCGGAATTACCAGAAATCTTCTGTTGGCGCCGCGATAAGCGGAACTCGGCGCATGCTTTTGAGATGTTGGACCGTGGATTTTGCAAGTATTGAGTGAAGTCCACAAAGACGACCTTCGTCTCTTTTTTGTATCAGGCCCGGCTTCTTGCGGTGTAGAGCAACAGCCCATTGTGCCAGTACTGAGTACAGTGGGAGGTGTTCTGGACTGCCAAAGCTTGTCGAGCTCAGGGTTCAGAAATCCCAAGACCCATTTTGCCATTTTGCTCCATTCCCCGGGTGGGAAGTCCTTCATTCCAATGTGGGTGTGATCTGGAGTTTCCCTGAGGTGTAAGCTGTGCAAGACTTGGGGGGTTTGGGGCGTTTTAGCGCTGAGAGCGTTCTCAAGCTGAGCCGTGACCGAACCTCTGAAACCAGGCGCTTAGCAGAGACGGTGCTCAACAGACTCCAGCTTTCAAAGGCTTCGAGTCATGACTCAGCGGATCTGCACCAGCTGTTTGGTTGGTCTGCCCAGTGCATGAAATGAGAACTTGTGTAGCTTCTGTGCTGATCGGTTGATTCTGCAACTGTGTTTTAGCAGAAGCACCGATCCAAATGCCCCGTGATACCTGTCCGTTATTCTCAACTGACGGGACATTTCTTGGTCTGTGGCCCGACGAAAGCTTCACGGTCAGCTCCGTCTGGCATTTGCTTATTCCTGGTGCCAGTGAAGCATCTCGGAGGTCTGATAAAGTCCACCTGGCAGCAGCTAGTACAGTGGCACTGCTTTTGCATATCATGATCTCATGCTTCACGGCCCCGCCTGCAAAGATGCAATTGCATGTGGTTCACCGCGACAGCTTTTTCGGATGACCAGGCTTCATCACGGCAGCCGTCTTTCTTCTTGTCGACATCCAGCTTCACTTTCTGCACGGTTTACTTTTGGAAGATGCTGTTGTCTTAGTCTTTAGCATCTTGAGGCACTTGCCGAAGGCATCCCTGAAAAGCATGTCGAATGTAAAGTTTTGGAGGTTGTTTCGTTCTTCCGTGCTTGCACATGTAGGCGGGTCTCCCAGGCAAGCTGGAGTTTTGATTCAGGTGCGAGTGTGCAAGCCATCCTGAGTCTGGTATAGCTGGTGCTGCTGCGGCAACAGTCCTCAGCCGCCAAATCAACGGCTTCGGCTGAGTGCATTTGCTTCGAAATAAGGCATGGTGCTTCAGAGCCAGCCAATGCAATCTGGATTTCAGCATCTGTCACTGTGGGAAGGAGATCGCCTGTACTGGAAATTCATCTCTGCCCGGGCTCGGCGGCAGGCATAATTCCGCGTGCTTCACTTCAGCTCGCAGTTCCTGGTATCCAGGATGCTGTCGCCTTTCGGTTTGAGTATATTGACTGTGACCACCATCTTTCAAGAGGGCCCATGTTCCTAAGGCGGCGGCCACAGGTTGCCGGCCGCTTCTAGCGGATGGTGCCGGTGTGGGAAGCCCAGGTTTGGAAGACCCGATCTGATAGAGCAACAATGAACAGTACTCCGAATTCGTAACTGCCTGGTTCTTCATGCGCGCGGCCATGCCTGCGGATGAAAGGCTAAAGAAGAGGCTGCTAGTCCGCTAGGCCGCTGGGCGCTAAAGCACCGGTCAGAGGAATCCGTGCATTGTCTTCTTGCTACATTGGCGAGCCTTCAGCACATGCGTGCTTTTCACGGGTTACGAGAGCAACTTGAGTCCCACGACACTGCATGAATCGGGACCAAACAATTAACCCGCAGAGCTTGCCTTGCTGCCGTCACAAAGGGGTGGATTGTGCGAAGCGCATTTTGCACGGGCATACCGCCTAGTTGCGCAAGCTGGTCCGGGTTTGATTCAAGCTCGGCAACAGTGCACGCTTCCTCAGTATCTTTGCTGACGTCTCTGTGTGTGTCTCATGTTTACCACTCGCTAGAGCCCGGCTGGACCGCGTTCGCGGGGGGGAGGAACGCGAGATACAGTAGAGAGAGGAGGGACGGGTTTACAAGCACATTCAGGGGAACGCGTGACTTCTCCAACCCGAAAAAGCTCCGCAGACTTTGCAGACGCAGACTGTCGTGGGGTAGGCCTCCAGGCCAGAAGCAAGCAAGAGAGAGAGAGAGAGAGAGGACATGGCGACGACACCCTAGGTCCTAGGCCGCCTTTCTTTTTCAGTAGTCTTACCCTGAAAGTGCCATGGCCCTCAATGGCGTAGGGGGAAATGAGTTTCACACTTGTGCTCCAGCTCATAATCAGAGAGGAAAGTCGTTTTAGTCATTTCCATTTGTCTTCGCTTCTTGTTTTGTCTTGAGCCTACATCCTCCACCACCCATGCAGGGGGAAATGACCCATGCATAGAACTTTCTGGAGCAGCTGCAGCTACGGGGGGAGCCGAGTTCATGACCACGCTGTCCTGTTTGCGATGCACCTTTCTGTGGCAAGAGAGACTCCCCCTCATGCGCATACATTTGCCAGTGTAATACGCACATACTAGCTGCAGGGGGACATGGTCAGGCCGGAGGTTTACTATGTTGGTTACCTGTTAGCGATTGTTTTCGCTTAGATGGACTTGAGGCCATGACCATCATAGTACATGTAGGGGGAAAACGACCCCACATGTTACTTCTTGAGGCAGCTGTACATCGGGGGAAGCTCGGCAGAAGTTTTGATCGTATTATGACTTTCTATCTTGTTCCGGTGACCTATCGTTCTTTCCTGTGACCGAGCATCCGTAGCTTCTTCTTCTACCCCTACAAAGCCCCACAACAGGGGTGCGCCTCACGGCGCGGGGTGCCTGACCAGCACCTTACGCCCCGGAGAATAGAATAGAGAGAGAGAGAGAGAGTGAGAGAGTGAGAGAGTGAGAGTGAGAGTGAGAGTGAGAGAGAGAGCTGGACGCTGGGCGATCGGGTCCCCTTTGGGGAAATATTCTGAACTGAGGATGTGCTTTGTGACATCACTGCCCTGGAGGAGGAGCAAGGCTACAGGCCAGCAACCAGCGGCCAGTTGCTCTGTGAGTGGTGAGGAAGCGTGGTTGTCTCGAAAGTCTGTGGCTCCAAGTTCAGTACCTGCAGAGACAAAGGGTGTGCGAAGGGCTCCCACATGGCATCCTGAACTTTGGTAGCAAGCAGCAAGAAACTTGCCGCATCCGCCGTTCGCGAAGCAGCTCCCAGATGCATCTGCTCCATGAACAAGGAATGATATGCCGGCTGCTGCCACCACTGACACAACCGCCGCAGGAAGGCATTGATTGCCACTGCAAAGTTCGGTTCGACTGCAGAAAATCTGATCCGATGCGGGTGGTTGGGCGCAGGCTGCATTGGACAGGGGAGACAGAAAGTGCTCCCATGGTGACTTGTACCGGGTACTGCTCCGAAAGGGTGGTGTGCATGGCACCGAAGCTGCCATGCCAAAGCGGCGGCATAAGTGTGTGGTGCGGGGGTGGACGAAGCAAGTGTTGGTTGGCTTCGGCCTTGGCAACCGATGCTCCGTGTGAGAATGAGGAGGTTAGAACCGCATCCGTGTCATCCACCGAGTCCGTTGCTTCAAACAAGAGCATTGCCGCTTTTCTTCCTGTTCTGATCGGACATTCATCCTGTGCAGTCGTTTCTGCTCGGCAGGCATGGGGGGGGGGGCTAAAGGATGTTAATGTCCGATTGTTCGTTCAGTGATTCATGTGTGCCGAGCTGATCTGGAAATACTGACAGACGCAGATAACATCGGCATCAGTGCACAGCAGAAGCTGGTGTCCGTCATAGTTTTATAGATCTTTCCGACTCCGGGGCCTGCCGCTTCCTTAGGCGGATTGTATCCGCTGTCAGTTTTCAGTGCGTGAATCAGCAACATCGACTTCCACCGAGGTTTCCTGAGATGTCCGTCAGACCACCATTGACGAGACAGACACTCGACCGGTTTATCGCATCGACAAACCCACCTTGCTCATGCATTGCATTCGATCGTGATGATGTGGCGCATGATGTCCAAGGGGAAGCACCGTGGGACCCGTTGGAAGATCAAGCCGGTGTCCCGGATGGCTTCTGTCCATTTTCCACTCTGTGGCGAGCGTTGAGACGCCTGTTCATCCCACCTCGCAGGGGGGCGTACGATCAGCAGCCAAGCGGTGACGGCCGAGTTTGCAGCCACTCTGAAGAAGCTCCAAGACATTTACGACACGCAGGCAGGGTGCGCACTTCGTATCCGCAATGGAGCCTTTGCATTCGGCAGCTCGTGGTTTCTTTGCCAACGGTGCAAAGCCTCGCGAGCAATTCGCTGCTGCTTCATGCTTTGCCGATCGAATGTTTTTGACAGGGTCAAGCCAAGAAGTCGCAGCACCCGAGCGCTCGTAGTAAGTCGTAGTATGCCCGTTTCGTGGCAGTCCTTATCATATCGTCATGTCATGCTGCCAAGTGCTGCGATCACTATGTAACACATGCTGGCAGTTTGACGGATCAGCCAAGAAACACAGCATATGGGATCCGCCCATCGAACTTTGTCCCAGTGTTGCGGAGAGGAAGCAGCAGTCAGGACCTGCCAAGTTCCCATCGTCAATGTGGCCGTAGATCCTCGCCAGCCGCAGATGGAATCGATGCTGGTTATCGCCGCACTTGTTTTTCGTAGACACTGCTTCTTTCACTGGTGTTGAACGTGGCTTTGGTGACCCGATAAACCCATCCGCTTCGGTTTGACCCCATCGGCTTCGGCTGAGCTATGCCAGCCTCAGAGCCAAAGAGCGATCGAACGTGGAGGATGGAAAAGTATATTCGTGACACCATGCAACATGATGGAAGCTCGTGCAGGTGCACCAGCTTCTCTTTGAGGCCTGTGCGCACCGATACTGGATGCTTTTGTTCCTGCACCGTCTCGTCGTTAAGAAGAGCCCGAGCAGGCACAATCACTACGACGAGCTTTGAGCAAGCAAGAGGGCACTTCTACAAGCCACGCGGAAGATGGGCCAAATGACGAACAGGCGGGCAGCGAGCTTGACTTGTGTTTGGGCCCCGAAGCGCATTGAGTTTATATCTATCTCGGCGGTTGCCAAGAAGTCTGGTGTTAGGACAGCCGGATTTCCGAATGCCTGGCATTCATTTCTTTGAAGTCTTTGTTGGACTCGCAGTCACAAATCTTTGGCATGATGTGCCTGTCTCGGAAAGGACTTGTTTGTTGCAGATTAGGCATGTGCGGGTATCGTGCGACGGTGATTGTGTATTCGAAGATGATGCAGTCACACGTCGCCTTCCATTGGCCAGTGACTACTGTAGTGACAAGTGGATGCTAGTTCTGCCTCTCAAGACCCTGTGGAGGAAGAGGACGACGTGTCGGTGCTTGATGTGGCCGTGCCCTGCTTGCAAAGTTGATACTGCTCTCAGTCCGTTTGCTCAAACGGCCTCTTCTGTCCCTTTATCCTACCCACTCCGATGCATTTGCACCCTTTTCGCTGGGTCTCCAGAGTTCTTGCAATTCTCATTGTCCGGGATTGTAGAGCTCGGGGGCGTCTGCTGATCGAGGATGTCGAGCAGTTCTCGCTGTGGCCCGAGTGGATGGCCGGCCAAGACACGATCAATGGCATCAGCAGCGACATTTTTGCCGACAGGCGGGTTACTCTTTCGTCATCCGTGCCCATGAGTTGCCGATGTTTGATGCTCGATGCAGGGAGTATGCCTTGGCCGAGCGCAAGCTAAAGCTCAAACCGGCCGCTTCTACCAGACGTATAGTCCGTAATCAAGTGCCATAAGTTGCTAAGTGTCTTTGTGTGTGTGTGTGCGCGGTAGTGCAGACAAATGGGATATCCAAGGATTTGAATGCCTCATACTCGTCCTCAGCGCTGCACCAGCAACAGCACTGTTGGAACCTCATTGTTTCACATGTTGCAAGCTATGAGTTCTGGAAGATGTCCTGCGAACCCGGCATGAACTTTAGGCACATGCACCTGCAAGCTGACCGACCTGGTTATCAGCCCGATCTCACCGCAGCGGATGTTCTGGGCACCTCGGCTGCAAATGGACATGGCTCATTGCTCGCTCAGCCCAGCACGTGCAGAAAGAAGCCTTGTCTCGGTCTCGAAACACTTGCATCTTGGCATTGCTTAGGACATTTTGGGCGTGGTCTTCCTGATCTATGACATGAGCCTCGACTGATGACTGATGTGGACAGAAGCAACTGCATCAACTGCGAACTAATACAGTGCAGGCCTGAACAGGGACCAGGGCCCAATGCTCCAATGTCCATTGAAATCTAAGGATATGGATTCCGGTGCAACTGTGCACGCAAGGAGACAGGAAAGCCAAATCCCCTTATCTTTCGTTTACGCATCTTCGCATATCTGCATTGACCCGTAATCCTAAGGCAAGTCTTCTCACCGGACCGCCACGTGGTGACAGATGCCCTCGACCTGACCGTTGCGGTGTACTGGACTTTGGACATCCTCGGCACATTTTTTACTGGGTTCTACTCTCGAAAAGGCGAGCTGATCCGTACTCACAAAGAAATCGCGCTGCATTACTTGAGCCTGGGCTGCAGAGCGCATGTGCTTGCAGCTCAGACTTGTGTAGAGTGTCATGTTCAGGTGTTGCAGATAACATGCTCTCGTGTCCCACAAAGGAAACGATGGTTCTTCCTCGATGTGATGATTGTCAGTGTGGACTGGATATTTATGTCCGCATCGCTAGGACGCATGCCCTCGACGTGAGACCGCATATTTGGTCTAAGCCTGTGTCGGCGGACAGTGTGAAGCCCGAAAGGAGAAGAGGATGACAGCGTTATGGACAATGCCGAGGGATCTGGTCTCGCTCGGTTAGGGAAGGCCTGGGAGCCCCTCACTGATGTCAACTGTCATCACTGACTTGTTGGCTCTGGCTCGTGCCAACCGCGTGCTTTCCGATCGATTTCGGTCGAGGGTTTACGGGTGCTGTGCAGTCGTGGTCATGCCTGCTTTGCTCGAGGTGATCCGAGTTGCAAGAATTCTGCGAACCTTGCGTCTTCTGCGCCTCATGAAGTTGAGGCCCACATGGGCACTGGTCCCTATGCTGCGATTCTCCCGCACGGGTCAGGTTCGTCCATGTCACCTGTGACAGGCACATCTTCTTTGCCATTCAAGAGCGTGCCTGTCCTAGCTGCGCATGTGTGACTGATGCTGTGTTAGCCCGATGCATGGTGAAGTCGTTCTCGCAAGTCATTGCCATCTTGCAGGTATTGACTCTGAGGCTGTGTTCATATTGGTGGGAACCGTAAAGAATCTGCAGCTCGTCAGAACATGAACACATCGTCGAGTGTTATTGCGAAACTTCAAGAAACAATAGCATAAGGCTGGTCTTGCTATTCGTCAACCATGTCTTCGCTTGCCTTTGGTATCTAATTGGAGTATTGGGAGAAGGAGCAGCGGCATGCGTCGCAGATCTGTGCATCCACACCGCAGTGCCCATACTCGGCAGGAGGTGCTCCCGAAGAGCATTGGGTATTTTATTACGACACAGGGGAGACAGTCATCGAGAAGTACATGCTGAGTCTTCACTGGAGCCTCACGCAATTTACGCCGGCAGGCGACTAGCATTGTGCGCATTACTTCTTGCTGGCCGGACGGTTGGCTGCTGGCTGCAGGCATTGAGATTCACCCATGCAACGTTTACGAGCGGGTTTTCAATGTCCCTCCCCTAGTATGATTGCGATTCGTTCGAGTGATCTCAGCCCTCTCGCCCATGCATTCTCTGCTTAGGCGCCGATGGAATGTGTAAGGAGCCGGAAAAAGACCTTGTTCTTGTTGACTTCCATCTTGAAAGGTCGGCCTGATTCTCATTGCCATGGTGGGATTCTCCTCCTTTGTAAGTGCCTGCCTCAGACGCAATGACTAGACGTCGAGAAACCAATGAATTGGGCACCAGGTGCGATCACCGCCTCAATGACAAGACTGCGAAGTCTGCAGGGTAACGAGCTCTCGGAAGCATTTCTGTTGAGAAGGTGCGGTCACCGCCACTTTGGTTTCAGATCTTGTAAG